TTCGTTCCGTTCCTCGTCGGCGTGGAGTGATGAGTGTGTCCGCGGGTGTTTTTCACCGTGCGGTCGCTGTCTGCTCCGTGTGTGTTTTTGTGGCTTTGTAGTTTACTGAAGTCGTGCTGGGACACCCGAGTGGATTCGTGTATAGGGCGCTCTGGACTGTGCGCGCAGTCGTTTTTTGATTTGGTTGGAAGCTTAAATACGGTACATAACTAGTGATTTGTCCTAGCCTGATTGATCAGCCGGTTTCACTTCGTAGAAACCGTCTGACCTTGCAGTGTTAGGATTCGTTCGCTCGACAGTAGGCAGGTACTTTTTATCATTTAACCAATCGCTGCTATTTGGTCGTGACTAGGGATGGGCATGATTAATCCATTAATCGATAATTGATCTTTAAGAATTTTATCGATTACGTTAATTTTAATCGACAAACTGAATGTAGGTTGATGTGCGTAGTGTGACCAAACAGGGGTCTGTACATGTAGCTCTCTGCACTCAGAAACATTTGGTCAGTCTGCAACGTACTGAAGCACAAATGTGTGTTTAACGATGATTTGTACAAGAAATTCCACGCTTTCCGTTGCGTTCGGGACAAGTGTGAGTCCATGTGCACAGTGTATAAAGCAGCACATCTGTTTCGGTGTCCAGTGGGAAAAAGTTTTACCAGGTGAGAGTTGCTCAATGTCAATGACGAGTCCCCACCTCCCTCCCCCCGTACGGTGTCCTGGTTTTGACAAACGCAAATCTGGTCACACTAACCTGTATTCCACTGAGTCGTGTCTTTTAATCTGACAGAAATTGAACCACATCAGTGACACAAAAGCTGTAGTTTTATCTTCGCTTAGTTTATGCAAATTGGTGATGTGGTTTTAAGTTTTGTTTCTGTGAGAGTTGCACAAATTGAATTAAACACATTATAATGTCAAACAGCTGATGTGGCTCTAGAGTCGTTACGGTTTATATGTCGTAAAGTTGAATTTATTTATGCAGATTAGTAGTGCAGATAGTAATAATAATGATGATTATTTTAATATCAAAATGTTAATGATTAATTGATAATTGATCGTTAATTCTTCCGACGATCGATTAAGAAAATTTCATCGCATGCCCATCCCTAGTCTGGACGTATGTAATGCGCCGCTAACCGGGTTAACTGGTATATTAAGCTTTTCCTAAATCCCATAGGAAGAAGGACAATAACGTCTTTCCCTTTGATAAAATTCACCAAACATTCTCTTTGTTCCAGGTTTAAATCCTCGATCTCGGGAATCGTTGACAACACTGAATATATGTCTCTTTGCTGATTGGCTGGTGCCCGAACTCACACTTCCGGGGTTTTTGCGAACCGTCTAGTGTATTCCCATTCCTGACGTAGTCGCTGGAGAGAAATGAAATAGAGCGGAGACACTCGGTGGATAGATTTGTCCCAATTTTATACAAAAATGTCCCGAGTGTCCATATCCTCCTTGGACCCAAAGAAAAAAAAGTGTATTGCAATATATATTTTTTGTGATTTTTCTGTCTATTTGGAGGTAAATGAACACCTTAGCTTTCAGATTTTTTTTTTTTCATTTTATTTTTATTTATAATTTTGTAACACGGGAGAGTTTTGGTGATCAACTTTTTGACAAGCTTCTACAGTCACCTCGAAACGTTTTTAGACTCCCTTTTCTTGATTTAAAAAAAATATATCATAGTGCCACCACAAACTAACTCCTTTTATCCTGGACATGACAGTGCCTATAATCCCCCAGCACTATTTAGGCAGAGGAATCTAGTCCCCCCATTAAGAGTCTGTCTCAAAACACTTAAAAGATAAAGTGGTTAACTCAGCGTCCATTATAAAGGACACAAATGAATGGACTGGGTCTCAGGAGAATATTCTGGACCGATCTGATCCCGGGCAACAGTGAAGAGGAAATATATTGTCATTTGTTTAGCCAAAAATGCCACCTGTTTGTCATGGAGACACAGTATTTGAAAGTACGACCAGAGAATGTCAGTGTTGGGGAGTAACAGATTAGAGTACAGTTTATGAGTAACTGTATTCGGTTACAGTTACTGTTTCAGTGAGTGGTAATTGGATTACAGTTACTTTGTTGAAATAAATGGATTACACGGCGGTATTTTCCTGTTTTCACATTTTGGGCTAAACTAGGATTAAACCAGGTCTAAACCAAGACTAAACCAGGACTAAACCAGGTCTAAACCAGGTCTAAACCAGGACTAAAATTAGGACTAAACCAGGTCTAAACCAGGTCTAAACCAGGACTAAACCAGGTCTAAATCAGGACTAAACCAGGACTAAACCAGGTCTAAACCAGGACTAAACCAGGGATAAAATTAGTACTAAACCAGGTCTAAACCAGGTCTAAACCAGGTCTAAACCAGGACTAAACCACATCTAAACCAGGACTAAAATCAGGTCTAAACCAGGACTGAACCCGGACTAAACCACGTCTAAACCAGGACTAAACCACGTCTAAACCAGAACTAAACCAGGACTAAACAAGGACTAAAACCAGGTCTAAACCAGGACTAAAGCAGGACTAAACCAGGACTAAAACCAGGTATAAACCGGGACTGAACCCAGACTAAACCACGTCTAAACCAGGAATAAAACCAGGTTTAAACCAGGACTAAACCAGGTCTAAAACCAGGTCTAAAAACAGGTCTAAACCAGGTATAAACCAGGTCTAAACCAGGACTAAACCAGGACTAAAACCAGGTATAAACCAGGACTAAACCAGGACTAAACCAAGACTAAACCAGGTCTAAACAGTAGGTGGACATAATTTAAAGCAGCAGTGATCTCATATAAAAATAATTTCTCTAAGTAATTTAACGGATTACGTTACAAACTACATTTTGGGGTATGTAATTGTAATCTGTAGGGGAATACATTTTAAAAATAACCTTCCCAACACTGCAGTCTGTTTATATAAAGTTCTCCTCACCTCTGTGACTTGACAAAACACAGGAATTTGCAAAATGGCGGTGACAACAAAACACTCAACAAACACGAACAAAAACATTCAAAACGAGCCAATTTGGAGTTCACTTTCTGAACAGAAGCCATTTGAGCGGATCTGGACGGATTTTTACTCAGAAAATTAAGCGCCAATTTTACAAAACGCACGTGTAGTTTAGAAGACTGATGCGCAGCGCCCCCGTGTGGACACAGACAACAAACGCAGGAAATGTTCTCAATTATCCCTCCAGTTTATTTCATTCATTCATTTATTTTATTTTACTAGAGAAATAAGCAAGGGTTAGGGTTAGAAAATACAGTTTAATGTCACTTATAACCAGTGTCGGGGAGTAACAGATTACATGTACCGGAGTTAAGTAATCAGAGTACAAATTATGAGTAACTGTATTCAGTTACAGTTACTGTTTCAGTGAGTGGTAATTAGATTACAGTTACTTTGTTGAAATAAATGGATTACAATGCGATATTTTCCTGTTTTCACATTTTGGGCCATATCCACCTTTTTTTTCGGTAATTCCATTCATTGCCGCTGAACTAGATCTAAACTAGATCTAAACCAGGTCTAAACCAGGTCTAAAACCAGGACTAAACCAGGTCTAAGCCAGGTCTAAAACCAGGTCTAAAACCAGGACTAAACCAGGTCTAAAACCAGGTCTAAACCAGATCTAAACTAGATCTAAACCAGGTCTAAACCAGGTCTAAAACCAGGACTAAACCAGGTCTAAGCCAGGTCTAAAACCAGGTCTAAAACCAGGTCTAAACCAGGTCTAAAACCAGGTCTAAAACCTGGACTAAAACCAGGTCTAAACTAGATCTAAACTAGATCTAAACCAGGACTAAAACAGGATTTAACAGGATTAATTTGGTTAAGTAAAGTCTGGGCTTTTTATTTTCTTTTAACAGACAAAACATCTTATGTGAAGATTTCCTCGTCTTTGCTTCTCTACAGCAAATCAAGTAATCCAAAGTATTCAGATTACGTTACTCACTTTAAATAATTTAATGGATTACGTTACAAACTACATTTTGGGGTATGTAATCTGTAATCTATAGGGGATTACATTTTAAAAGTCACCTTCCCAACACTGCTTATAACGCTTTTGTGACATGTGATGAGACGGAGCCTATATGTTCTTGCCCCGGAGGTTTAGGTTTCTGCCTGGGGGGTTGTTAGAAGGCATTAACCCCCAAAGATTAGGATTATCTGTCTCGTTTACGATCAGACCAAATGCACCGGGTGTTTTAGAGGAGCTCGCTTTTCATATTTGCACCTGCAGAAGAGGACCGAAGCGGACAGACGGCGGGGGAAAAAAGTAAGGAGACGCGTGCAGAAGAGAACGGGAGCGAACAGAAAGCGGAGAGAAAGCGCACAGGAAACGGAGAAAAGCGGACAGAAAGCGGACAGAGGCGGACAGGAGCGAACAGAAGCGGACAGAAAGCGGACAGGAGCGCACAAAACAAACAGAAAGCGGACAGGAGCGGACAGAGGCGAACAGAAAGCGTACATGAGCGCACCCAACAAACAGAAAGCGGACAGGAGCGCATAAAACAAACAGAAAGTGCACTGGAGCGAATAGAAAGCGTACAGGAGCGCACAGAGGCGAACAGAAGCTGATAGAAAGCGTACAGGAGCGCACAAAACTAATAAATAATAATAAAAATAAATAAAACAGGACAGGAAGCGTACAGGAGTGGACAGAAAGCGTACAGGATCGCATTAAAACAAAAAGAAAGCGTTCAAGAGCGCACAGAGGCGAACAGAAGCGGATAGAAAGCGTGCAGGAGCGCACAAAACTAACAAAAAGCGCACAGGAGCGGATAGAAAGCGTACAGGAGCGCACAAAACAAATAAAAAGCGGACAAGAGCGCATAAAACAAACAGAAAGCGGAGAGAAAGCGCACAGAAAGCGCACAGGAGCGGGGGAAACGGAACAGCACGCGGTTCTTGGCTGTTCCTCGTCGCCATGGAAACCTGACTGTGTACGGAAATAGTGATACTGACGCCGCCATCTGAAGTTTGTTGCAAATTTAATGCGTTTGTTTAGGTCGAAGTCTGGTGAAAAAACAAGTTTCAAATCGCCCCTCGTGCATCAGGTGAGAAGTTTCACTGACACTTTAAAATGACAACATCTTTATGCGACATTTACGGTTTATTCCATGGTGTTGTTACGTGTGGAAATAGTCTAAACACGTTGTAGACTATCAGTGGTGCAGAATGTGATGTTTTCTTTGAGATGCTAATGCTAGGAGCTGTCATTTTAGCAGCACGTAAACCAAAAGTAAGTAAAAAAATCTCTCCAAAGAGCCAACGCCAAAGTAAGCTACAACTATTTGCTTTAAAATAAAATGAAGGCAACGTTCAAATTCACAACAAGTAGCCCAAGTAAAGTTTAAATTATAAAAATACCTAAAATCTTTGGTGCACTACGTAACTTTCTAGCGGGGGTTTGATAACTGCTTGTCTCCATGGAGATGTAACTGTTTTGACTGAAATATTCCACAATATTGAATTATAGTGAATATCTCTGGAGACAATCAGGCATGATTCCTTTCACTGTAAGAATGTTTGTGTGTTTCCCCCCAAGGTTTTTCCAGGCCTAATTGACCCTTTTCATAACGGGCTCCGCTTTAGGTTTGCGATTAACTTCCGGTTAATGGTTTTCTGTGGCAAAGGCTATGTTCACACTGTAGCCTGAAGTGACCCAAATCCGATTGTTTGGCCCCTATGGCTACGTTCAGACTGCAGGGCTTAATGCTCAATTCCGCTCAATGCTCAATTTTTTTGTGAAATACAATGTGTTTGCGAGGTTGTTCCCATTTCCAATTAAATGTGACTTGTGTGTGACTCCAGTGTGAACATTAAACGGCCCAAAAGTGTCCCACATGTGACACTGGAGACACGACAACGTCAACCGCAGCGAGCGTGCTCTGTGTTTACGGAAGTTGTCCAAACATGGACGCGAGCGTTGAGCACCTGGAGATTTTAAAGTTCCTCTCGTACCAGAGCCAGAACATGAACAACTTACTTGTTTTAAGGAGGAGATTGAGAAGGAGAAGGACGAGGTTTTTGGCCGTGACGTTTTGTGGGGCGACGTCCGTTGAAAGGAACGTGTGGATGTGGAGATGTAGCCAAGAGTGGTGAGTGGTGATGTGCTTCGCTTCAGTGACATGGAGTTCATTAACAATTTTCTCCTACTTTCCAGAATAGTGACGTTTGTGTCTTGTTGATAACGTGTAGGTGGATGAATGCGATTTGACCGTTCAGACTGAAGTCGCACGTCAAAAGATCAGATATGTATCGGTTTCAGGAGCACATATCCAAGTGTCCTGGGTCACATTTGAAAAAATCGGATCTGTGTGGTTCAGACTGTCATTAAAAGATCAGATACAGGAACATAGAGGCCAAAAAATCGGATTTGGGGTCACATCAGGCTGCAGTCTGAATGCAGCCTATGTGACCTGTATCTGATCTTTTAATGACAGTCTCAATGACACAGATCCAATTTTTTCAAAAGTGACCCAGGCCACTTGGATATGTGCTCATAAAACCGATACATATCAGATCTTTTGACATGTGACTTCAGTGTGAACGGCCAGGTCACATTCATCCAAACTGCACGTCACAAATGTACACAGACGTTCTTCTTGTCAGATGAAAATTGTGTATGAACTCTGTGTCAGTGAAGGAGTGAAGCACATAACAATCCCACTACTCTTGGCTGCGACTCTGCACTTACACTTTCCTTTCTACGGACGTTGCTGCCACTGCCCCACAAAACACCAGGGCCAAAAACCTTCTCCTTCTCCTTCTCAATCTCCTCCTTCAAACAAATAAACTGTACATGTTCTGGCTCCGGTATGACAGCAACTTTAAAATCTCGAGGTGCTCAATGCTCGCGTCCATGTTAAGGCTACTTCCGTAAACACCGAGCACAAAGCACTCGCTGCGTGTGACGTCGTTGTGTCCTTCGATGCGGATGCGGGACAGTTTTGGGGCGTTTAAAGTTCACACTGGAGATCACATACAAGTTCACATTTAATTGGAAATGTGAACGACCTCGCAGAAACATCAGATTTCACAAAAAAATCCAAACTGAGCATTAAGCCCTGCAGTCTGAACATAGCCTCAGTTCAGCTTTAAGTCAAGTCACAAAGTACTTTTACTGCTTTACTTTGCACCCTGGATTAAATCAGATGCCATGTCAGCGTACGTTATAGCTCAGTTATGCGGCTGCTGCTCGTCCGTCTCTATTTTTATCATATTTCTGTTGTGAATGTGTGGCAGGTTCCACAGCGCCCGGCCGTGTGCAGAGGAGCGGCTCGGGTTTCCTCCGGTCTCCTCTGCGGGCAACATATATACACCACGAGACCGCAGACAGGAGCAGGCAGGAGCAGACAGGAGCATGTCCCGGTGCCTGTACGAGAGTCTGAGGGCTGTGGGGCTGCAGCATCACTATGACAGGTAAACTCACGCTCAGGTTTTACACTTGTATCGTTTTAAAGACTGACATTTTGTAGAATATCATGTGTGATAAATCAGTTCTCATGCCGCAATATCATCATGTTATCTTGTCGTGACCAGAGTATCGAGTATCTTTTATCATTTCAAACTCTAGGGCTGGGTATCTTTCAGAAGTTGCCGATACGATACAGACCTCAATATATAGGCCACAATACGATACATATCTCGATACAGTGAGCTTTCGATTATAATAAGATCTGATATATTTCACGGCAAGGCAAGTTTATTTGTACAGCACAATTCATACACAAAGTAATTCAAAGTGCTTTACAGAATAAGAAAAACATTTTTCCAGACTATAAGTCACTCTGGAGTATAAGTTGCACCAGCCAAAAAATGCGCAATGAAGAAGAAAAAAACATATAGACGTTGCACTTTTTGGGGAAATGTATTTTGTAAAATCAGAGACCAGGAACCAACATTTCATCTTGAAATGAAAGTTAAAGTAATAAAAATAGAACAACAGACTGAAAAGGCGTTAATATGTTAACGTAACATATGAACAGTTATTCAGATAATTATAGCGTAAACAACAGAATATAAGTTTAACAAACTCTCCATCTCGCTCCAAATCACTAAATCCATTCAGTTTTTCATCCTCGGTGTCACTTCTGCTCAACCTCCTGAGATAAACCATAGATCCATGATGTAAACAGAGCGCCGCTTCCTCTTCTGTGTCGCTGTCGTCAGACTCAGCATCAGTTCAGTTAGAATTATTCCAGCCTTTCTGAATCCCGACAGGATGGTTTCGATTGTCATTGAAGCTCAGGCTTTGTCAATTCATCCAGTGACTTTAGGAAAGTTTCATGGCGCACCCTGCCCGGTTGCCGTAAAGCTGTGTTCTCCATCCCCGCTTTCCCCCAGTACCTCACAAGTTTCTCGTTTACTCCAAACTTTCTTTCTGCTGCTCGATTACCATTTTCGGCTGAATATTTCACTATTTGCAGCAATACAGCGACTTTTTCTACAGGAGACATGCGCAGTAGAGCGAAGTGACAGTGGTACATGAGTAATAGTCGTACTAGATATTGACACACAAGACTAGAGCCTCTCACAGCTTCAGTCTGAAAATTTTAATATATAAATCGCACCAGAGTATAAGTCACAGGAAACACCCAAACCATGAAAAATGCACGACTTATAGTCCGAAAAACACGCTAATTACATAAATTAGAGAGAAGAGTGCGGAATGAAAACCTTTCAGTCATATGCAGCTAAACAGAACTATTTTGAGTCTGGATTTAAACAATGTCAAAGTTTCAAATCGATTCAATATGGTTCAATAAAAAATAAAAAGCGTGACTGTGACACTAAAAGTCTTTGTTAAACCACTTCTTGTGCAAAGTTCATATGAAACATTTTAATTCACAAAAACAGTGAAAATGTCAGATGTGTAGCATAAACGAGTTTCGTTCCTCTGAACAAACAACAAAACTGTAGCTGTGACAAAATAATTTAGTAAAATATACCAAAAATACTCTTGGTGATATATCGATACAGCAGTCCACGATATCGATACTGTATCATCACATTAAACGATATGATATATCGATATTTAGATATTTTTGCACAGCCCTATCCAGAGATGGGGACTTTTTATTTACTTTACTTTTTATCAAGTGTGTTTTTTTATTGTTATGTTATACCTGCATACTCAAATGCAAATCAATCAAAATATATTTCCTATAATGTGATTTTCTGGATTTTTTTTTTTTTTTGATATTCTGTCTCGTAATGTTAAAATAAACCTACCATTAAAATTATACACTGTTCATTTGTTCGTCAGTGGACAAACCTACCCTAACCCTAACCCTAACCCTTAACATTATACACTGTTCATTTGTTCGTAAGTGGACAAACGTACAAAATCAGCAAGAGATCAGATACTTATTTCCTCCACTGTAATCTCCTTCAGTTTGAGCTCGGTGGGCGTGCGAAGCCTGGCTCACCTCACAGTCCTCACCCTGGACGACTTCCCTCTTTTGGGCATCAGATCCATGGAGGACCGGACCCGCCTCTTCCACCTGGTCCAACAGCTCCGAACTCTGGACCCGCAAACGCTGCACCAGGCTGGGGCAGACGAGGAGAGCAGCTACCCCCAAAGGACACTCCAGGAAAGCCACGCTGTTACCCCAAATTCTCGTCCAGATGATATTAAACCATGGAGTGGTTTGTCCTCACTTTGCAGGCAGCTTGATTTTAGTTCAGAAACAGCAAGTGAGCCGTCTGAGGAATCATTTGAAAATCCATCTGCCAATACTAGTTTCAGACGAGATTGTGGAAAGTTAGATAGTTCACTAGAAAAACCCGTTGCAGATATGAAACCAAAACAGAATTGTAAAAAATCATTGAGAAGGAAAACCAGCAAAACAACCGTGAATGCAGAAAACACGAGGACACCAGTGCACCAGTCCAATCCGTCAGCGTACAACTACGGACTGCCCCAAACCAGAGCCCCGCCCACTCCCAGCAACAGGTAACAGGAAAAGTCCCTTATATGGAAATGTGGGAGTAGGAATGTCATGATATCAAGATTATTCTAGATTAGTGACACCGTGAAAGTAACTCAAGCAAAAGTGAAACTGCTTAGTCTTTGTGCGCAGACGATCAGGGGAGCCTCGGATCTGGGTGTGCGTGAGGAAGCGACCCCTGACCCCTGCGGAGGAGAGGAGACAGGAGACAGACGCGGTGACCTCTGCTGGTCAGAGCTGTGTGGTGCACGAGAGCAGAGCGGCCGTGGACCTGACACACTACGAGCTGCAGGTGAGTGTCTACAGACGATGATGTCAGCTCCATGTCTGAACCTCCTGAACAAAGCCTGATCCGAGCTCTGAAGCTGAGTAGGACCTAGGTAGTACTTCGATGGGAGACCGTTGGGAATACCAGGTGCCACAGGGGGGTGCTAGTGCAAGCTGTTGTTGTTGTGTCCTTAGGCAAGTCATTGTGTCTAGTATAGCCCTGCGTTTGATTATCCCTCCAAATCAGTTTTCTGAGGAAGTTGCGACTTGTTTGGCAGACCCCTTTTCCTGGGACGGCGCGACTCAGATCACAGTGGCAGAAAAAGTAGACCAAGCAAGGAGTCAAAATATGAACTGTTTTCATTGTGTTTGGACATTTTGGTTGTTTAAATGACAATTTCAGTCACTCGTATCACTGCAACACGTCACCGTATCTGTATCACTGAATATTGGTCTGGTAGTCGATGTTGTGGCGATGCCAATATTGAACAAATACTTAATTTAACGGGCATTAACGTCCCTAAGGTTGTAACGGAAGAGAAATCATAACATAAAATAAAGTGCAAATTCCAAAAGAAAAATAAAAAAGTGACAGCGTTTTTACAAGACGAGGGAATAGTCATAATCATATTCCACGTAGTCCAATACACGAAACATAACAATACACAAATCCAAGGTCCAACTGGGAGTCGGAAGAAAATCAAACGCAGGGTAAATCTGGTTTGTGAGTGTTGGTGATGGTGGGAAGGGCCGATGGCACAGATTGACAGCCTCAGTTCTGTCAGTGTGCTCTACGAGTCACCACCGAGTGTCAATTGGCTCTTTTCACGCTTACGTCACAAACCAGGATGTTCTTTGCATCTTTCCAAACCAAAACGTTTGGAAAGATGTGATTACAACTTCCGGCGTAGTTACCGACAATGGGCTCGCCTAACATGGATCTATTAAAACCGATTGCGATCAAAACCCACTGGAGTAAATGTGATCAGCGGTAAAATGAAGACTGCAGACGTATGTGCTGTTTGGAATCATCTTGAATTTGGCGCCTCATCTCTTCTAATCGCATGTACCCAGTGCGCTCAGAGTTGTGTGTCATGTAATTGTTGATTAGGCAAACATAACGGAACGCTACAATGACATTTAGATGAAGTCTGGGTCTGGGAAGTTGTAATTATATCTTTCCAAACGTCTTCCTGATGTGTGACGTAAGCTTGAATAGAGCCCAGTGATTGAATAGTATAAAATTGCGGTCCTCAACCTTTTTTTTTGTAAGGATCGGTAAAAAACACACTGTTTTTTTTCAGGAGTCGGTAGAAAGGGCAGGGCCAGTAATAGCAGCACAAAATTGTTTAAATATTCATGTTTGCTGTTTACCAGGTTCATTTGAGTAAAACACGTAGATATGGTGGTAGAAGTAAAACTCCTTACAAAGATATTTCATATTTTTCTCTGAATCCTGGTACCACAGGATAAAGGGTTTTGAATGTTTTGAAAAGTGCTGTATAAATCCAAGGAAAAAAAGAAGCAGTAGCTCTGTCGCCACAGTCGCCCTGGGGCAGACTGACCCCTCCCTCCTGTTTCTGCAGCACAAGTTTTACTTTGACCACGTGTTTGGAGAGGACTGCTCTAACGAGGAGGTGTACCAGAGGACGGCCTGCCCGCTGGTCCAGCACATGCTCCGGGGGTGAGCTCACACATACACTCAGAGTCACATTTATATTTGACAAATGTTTATCTTAATGGACCCATCTGATCGTGTGTTTACAGGGGCAGTGCCACCTGTTTCGCGTACGGGCAGACGGGAGCGGGGAAGACCCACACCATGCTGGGCTCCTCTCTGGGCGGGTCGGGTGATCAGGGCGGGTCAGGCAGCGGGTCTGGCAGGTGGGGCTTTGGAGGGGAGCCGGGCCTGTACGCTCTGGCCGCTCAGGACCTCTTCTCTCACCTCTCCTCCTCCCCCGCCCTCGCCCACCTCAGTGTTTTTGTCAGTTTCTTTGAGATCTACTGTGGACAGCTGTACGACCTGCTGGACCACAGGAAGAGGTGTGGCTCTGTTACTTTAGAGTACATTAAATTAGACTGTGTGATGTGAAAATAAACTTACCCTAAACGTTTTGTGTTCAGGCTGTTTGCACGAGAGGACGGCCAGAGGAACGTGCACATCACGGGGCTGTGTCACAGGAGGGTGGAGTCAGTCCAGACTCTGCTGCAGGTTAAAAGGACACAGATCTCTGCTCCTCACATAACTGACTCTTCATCCTCCATCTGAATCTTACATGTTCTTTATTATGTGTCATGTCTGTGTCAGGTGATCTCTCGGGGCTCAGAGGAACGCTCTCAGGGCTGCAGCGGAGTCAACCCACTGTCGTCTCGCTCTCACGCTCTGCTGCAGATCCAACTGAGAGGAGCGGAGCCAAGAGGGGCGTGTCAGAAAGTGCATGGCCGGTCAGTCCCTCACACTCGCACTGATACGGGCTTAAACAGTATTGTTGATGAGGATATTATAAACAGGTGGAGCCTCAAGTGGAGGAGTTTAAGTATCTCATGTTCACAAGCATCTGCAGTATTGCTGTCGCTGTATCCGACTGCTGTGGTGAAGAAGGAGCTGAGTCCAAAGGCAAAACTCTTGAGTTTTCTGCTCAATTTACTCTTCTACTCTCACCTGTGCTCATGAGATTTGGGTAATAATCGAGAGGAAAAAGAGGGAAGATACAAGCAATTAAATGAGTTTCCTCCGCAGAGTGGTTGGGGACTCCCTTAGAGACAGTGGTGAGGAGCTCGGACTAGAGCCGCTGCTCCTCCACGTGGAGAGGAGCAACTGAATGGAGGGCATCTTGGACTGGGGAGCTTTTCTTGTCCCAACGGGAAGAGGCCCCGGGAAAGACCCAGGGTGCTCTGTAGGGAAGTCAAAGCTGAGGGTTTAAAGGGTTAGATAAATATAACGTATCTAATCTACTGTGTGTGGTAGGATGTGGTTCGTGGACTTGGCCGGCAGTGAGCGAGCGTCTGACTCCAGAGACTCTGACAGACGCAGCCGAGTGGAGGGAGCAGAGATCAACCAGAGCCTACTCGCGGTACAGCTGTTTGTGGATATAGAGTTACTGTGTATAGGACTATATCTGAGCTAGTGTTAATATGAATCTATTTTAAACAGTATCACATGAAAATATTCCATGGTTGACTTCACTTGTAACTTTCTTTGTTTTCAGTTAAAGGAGTGCATCCGCTCTCTAGACCAGGAGCAGGGCCACACACCCTTCAGACAGAGCAAACTCACCCAGGTGAGACACCAGCACTTTAAAGGCAGAGGGAGGGCTGCGGGAGAGGAGGAGGATTAGAAGAGAAGGAGGAAGAGAGAAGTGTACAGCATCTCTTTGTTTATGAGATTAATGTGTTTGTACATGGTCCCTGTTAAAATAAACCTAAAACCTAAACTAAAACTAGGACAAGAGGTAGATAGACAAGGAGTAGGAAGAGGAGAAGAGGAGCAGAGAAGGAGAGGAAGAACTGTCCTGACTTCATGACCTGTGTTCAGGTGCTGAAGGACTCGTTCATCGGAGACTCCCTGACCTGTATGATCGCGAACATCTCCCCCGGTCACTGCTCCACAGAACACACCCTGAACACGCTCCGATACGCCGACCGGTGAGAACAGACACATTTAAAGCTACACTATGGAACATTTATGATGGGTAGTGTCCATGGAGATATTACTGATTCACCTAGAATGTTCCTCCATGTGGCATTAAGCTTAAATCTTAAAAGCTTTAGCTACATGTGTTGTTACTATGAGCAGCATCGCCTCTTCACAGACCTGACTCTCACTCGCTTGAACATTTCTGGCAAAACAATGCAATCTCCATGGAGTCAAGCCGATTCTGGACCCTCCATCAGAAAAGTTCCATAGTGCACCTTTAAATACAGTCTTAATAGTTAGTCCTATTGCTTTCTGTTTATTTTTCATTATTTTATTTGACAGTGTGAAGGAGCTGAAAGGCCAGAGGGGGCAGCAGAGAGCCAGACGAGGTAAAAACACCTCCACCCCAAAACAAAACCTGTCCCAGAGCAGTGGTGCCAGCAGGGGGCGTTACAGAGGCTCCAGTCCGCCCAAGAAACCAAGGACCACCACCTCCAATGCCCCGCCAACGCCGTCACCCGTAAGAACCCACGAGGACAGCACGTTCCTCTGCTCTACACCCAAGAAACACCAACACAACCAGGACAGGAGGGGGAGGTTTACCTGGATCTCACCCGTTCAGATTCCACGAAGAACGAGCCGTGAAGAGGGCGAACACAGGGCAGAGAAACTACGTAACCAGGCATCAAATCAACCACAAAATCTTGAATTTAGTCCGAGAAAGATGGCACCGCAAAGCCAAAAAAGTTACGAATGGAACGATTCAAGTAAACGTTTCGAAGACCAAGAGAAGAGGAGGCATCTTAAACTCTATCACCAACAGTTACAACAATTTGATCCACTTTTGACGTCTTCTGATCTGCTCTCTCAAAACACATCCACTGACTCCCCGAAAGAGAATTCACATGTTACCGAAAACATGCTCGCGTCTTCAGTGGCCATGGAAGACATTTTGGGCCAGTTTAAAGCTCGTATCAACCGAGTGCAGCCACATGAGCCTGATTCTGAGGTGAATGCAGTGTTTGACAAAGATTTGGTTGACAAAACAGATGCGATACTGAGAAAAAATAGGACAAAACAGGCAAAAACAGCTCAAAATAGCGGCGCGAAAAGTGCTTGGGTGTCGGACAATGAAGCGATCTCAGGAATTTGTTTAAATGTAGGCGAAAGTATTAACAATCGTACCCCAAGACAAGGATTTACGGTTGAACTGTGCGACCCGCGAGCCCCGGCAGAGCGCCCCCTGTCTCCTGCAGCGGAGAAGAGCAACTCGCTTTTGACGCTTTCTGATTTGAACTCTTCCAAAATGATACCAAATAGTCCCAAGTCCAATGAAGGCAACCAGCGTAATGAATGTACAGAAAAGCATGGCGCGTTATTTCAAATGGTGGAAGAAATGCGAAGTGTAGAAATGGACCCTCTGTGGTTGTCCACGTTGGAGAAGCCAGCTTCAGTTTTGCATCTCCAACAAAAACCAACCACTTCAGATAGGGACCTAGAAACGTCTTTACCTGTGTGCAGCACGGTGTGGGAGCCAGAAGAGGGCGCTGACGAGTGCTACCTGGAGGTGCCTCAAGCAGTAGGTGAGTCCTCAGAACTTTTGGTGCAGAGAAGAAAGCGTCAACAAATTTATTAAAGCTTCCATTTGTAATAAATGCATCACAAACTTCAAACTTCTGGTCATTGCACAATTCATACTGGGAAGGATCCTCCGAAAAAGTGAGCATCAAACCTCCATGTTTGTTTTCCCAGTGGGATGTGTCTATTGTCAAAACCGATCTTTTCAAGTCTTTTGAACCATATCACTTTTGTTTCTGTTTCTGATATTGTCATAGTTATGGGATTTGGACGTGGTAATTGTGAGGTTGTTGAATGTCCTAACAGCGGAAACTCCATAACTGCAAAAGCGAATTAGATCTGTGTAACTGCACACCTCCGTGTTTCGCTTCCCAACGGAATAGAAAAATAGTGAAAGGTGAAGGTGATGGGCAGGATTGATCCACAGGAAGGACCAAAAAAGAAACATTTGACTGCCTAAGAAATTATCCCGAGTTTGCAGTGAACATTTTGTATGTGGAGCAAAAACAAAGCAAAATCCCGTTTAAGTGAGAGGTGCAGAAGACAAACAGACTGAGCTGCACTTTCTTGTTCTTGTGGTTTTACAGCAACATCACGTCTTGGTCTCTTTGCAGTGGAAGGTGTTTCTTGATGAACAGCTGGTACCTTTCACTTTGGCGTTGACTTTTTAAATTCGTAACCAAGGTTAAGCGAGGGATTTTGTATGTGGAGCGCTTTGTTGACGCTCCACATACAAAATGTTCACTGCAAACTCAGGCAGCCAAAGGTTTCCTTTTTGGTCCTTCCTGTGGATCAATCCTGCCCATCGCCTTCACCTTTCACTATTTTTCAATTCCTTTGGGAATGGAAACAGTTTGAATGGAGGTTTGCAGTCACACACATCTGATTCACTTTTGCAGTTATGGAGTTTGCAAACTTCTGAAGCCCATTTCTCGAGCTGTTTTCCGCTGTTAGGATTCAACAACCACACAATTACGATGTCCGAATCCCAAAACTAAAATATGACAATATCAGAACCAGAAACAAAAGTAATATGGTTCAAAAGACTTGAAAAGATCGGCTTTGACAATAGACACATCCCACTGGGAAAACAAACATGGAGGTTTGATGCTCACTTTTTTCACTCCTTCTGACCCCGGCTCCAATTGACTTATGTTAGGATCTTGGGGGGTTGGCTAACACTAGATCTTCACTAGAGATTCATGCAGGTTTGAATAATCCTGTATTGTTCTGTATTTAAGGCGTTGTGACACACTTGTTGTTGGGTTAAAAAACTGTACGCATTTTTCAACAATTAAATCACGTAAATTAAAACCTGCTTCTTGCTGCAGTGAAATGTCAGGAAAACAATTTAATATTACAAGTCACTCTTTTATCTTTTCCAGGTTCCTCTATGATTCCTTGGGCCATACGGTTCCACTCACAACAACAAGGGGGCGCCATCCAGCCAGCCGCGCCCACAGCTCAGCCCGTCTCTGCTGTAGGTGATGCGGTCTTTAATAAAAGCTCCGCTCTCACACGCAACAGTCCCCACGTTCACCACAACAACAACAACAGCAGCGTGACCTCCTGCCCCCTGAGCCAGAACGGCACAGTGCCACCGCCTGGTCACTGCGAGAACAGCAGCTCTGAGGTCCCACCGTCTGAGAGAGGAGAAGAGAGAAGAGAGAACAAAAGCACATCTGAGGAGTGGATGAGAGGAAACCAGTAAGAAAAATACTTGGTTTAATTAAAGATGTTTGATAACGGTGCCAAAAGTGAAGGAAGACAACCTTTACTTGAAACAATATTACTAGTATTGAACAAAAATGTTAAAGTAGTGCTATGTAACTTTTCAGGTTGAGGGTGCGCCACCTGCTTGTCTCTATGGAAATGTTATGGCTTTGACTGGAATGTTCCACAGTACGGCATTTGTGTTTATTTAGTTACAGATGTTATGAAGGTATAATATGAACTTTGGAGTCACCAGCTCGTCTCCATGGGAAAAAAAAGTTATTCTGAGTCTGATTAATGCCATACTGTGGAACATTAAAGGCAAAGCAATAACAAAGCAATAACATCTCCATGGAGACAAGCAGATGACGGACTCTCTACCAGAAACATTACACACTGCACAGAAGGATAAAACATTAACTGGCTAGAAAAAACAGAATCAGTTCATTATTTATAGACCTGAAAATCCCCCAAATGTAAAATGAGTTAAATGAGTCACCAAAACATTTACATAAGAGAACTGTTACACTGTAAAATATATTATTGAAAGTTGCTGAGAAGTGTAATTTCTTAATAATGTGACCCCAGTAGTTGTACATGATGTGTCCCCCTGTGCTGGTGTGTTTGGTCCTGACCTCTGTCCTCTGTCCTCTTCAGGCTCGTCGTCCAGGCTCATTTAGAGACGCGCAAACAGATGGAGCTTCTGTCCCACAGAGAAGGGACTCTCCTGGTGCAGCAGCCTCAGATGGTGAGGAAGGTTTAGAGAACCTGAGGTGGCACTGGGAAGTATTAAAGGTGCACTGTGGAACTTTTCTGGTGGAGGGTCTGCCATCTGCATCTGTCACCTGCTTCTATGATGATAAATAAATGTAATGCTACAGGGTGTCCCAAAAAAACTGACATCATTTTAAAAGCAATTATGTTGAAAACTACTAAGTCTAGCTCAATGATGATGCTGATGTTGGTACCAGATCCTTTAGTCCTGCATAATCAGCCGAATTCTTTACATTTTTGGTACCAAGTCCAAATTTGTTTGCCAGTTGGTGAAGTTTTTCCAAATTTTGCGTTGAAGGCTGCACAGTCTGAGTCAGGCTGATGCCACCTAGTGCCTCCACTCAATTTCATTTCTCTCCGGTGACTAGGTCAGGAATCAAAATACACTAGAAGGTTTGCAAGAACCCCGGAAGTTGTAGACTGCACACCGGCCAATCAGCAAAGAGCTGTGAAGCCATGACGTCAAACTCAAGCCCCTGTCTGTGTCCCTTTTGTGGAACAGCACAACAGTAAACAAAGCGTCGAGATGGAAGTAGACGAAGACATTCTGTGTTGGCAACGATTCCTGAGATCGAGGATTTAAAACTGGAACAAAGAGAAAGTTTGGTGAATTTTATCAAGGGGAAAGACGTTATTGCCTTTCTTCCTACGAGATTTGGTGCGTTACATATGCCACGACCAAATAGCAGCGATGACTTCTCTTTGGGAGTGAACGGCTCAAACTGACAACAGAACAAAAATAAAACATTAAATATAAAATCTTGATCTGTTTCTGTACATTCTGTTAAAATTTGAGGTTATTTTAACAAGAATTGCCAAAATTTTTGGCCTGCGAAATGATGTCAAATTTTTTGGGACTCCCTTTATATTGTGGAACATTCCAGGCAAAGCTCTAACATCCCCATGGTGACAAGCAGGCGACTCCACCAGTAAAGTTACAGCACCTTCAAATATAAATAGTTTACTGTCATCTTTTTTCTTTAAAGGATATAATGTAGATTTAAAGCTAATGTGTTATCTACAGTAAATGTAATGTTTCAGATTAACATTACATTTACTGTAGATAATGCGTTTTTGAGTTCAGAAACAAGTCCAGTATTGATATTTGTCATAGACCTCAATGTAGTGCTTCTCACACTTTTGACGCCAAGATAATATCTGACTTCCTGAGTGCGACCAGATCTAAACCTAGACTTTTTCAGACCTGCAGTAGTGCTAAAGCAGGTCTGAAATGAGTCTAAACCATTTTAAGTTGTGATTAACCCAAAAGAGGATAAACATATTACAGATTTGTCTCTAAATTAAATGCACATTTTGAGAAACAGTGCCCTGATGGACTGTGTGTTGTGTTGTGTTTTTAGGCTTTTGTGGAGTACGTGCAGCAGCTGGAGCAGATCATGATGAGAAAGGCTCTGTGTGTGCGGACTCTGATCTCACATCTACAAACTTACCTCAAGACCAGCCACACTGAGCAAAACGCAGTTGTAGGGAATTAAAAGGATCAACCCAGCAATGCAGAATCCATTCTAATAGTAGGGATGAGCAATTTTTTTCTGATAAACATTGCAGTTGTGATAAGATTTGTGATTTATATTTTAATAATAGGATTCTGAACTGACAAACTAATACAAGAATCACATTTCAGAACAGATTTGTACAGATCTAAACTACAGGGTTAGCAGTTTTTTACGCAGAATAACACAGAATTAGTTGTTTGTGGAGGAAATGATGGTACTAAAAATTGCGGCCATTGTGAATTGTTGATTGCGTCTATTCAAATAATGATTTCGCCCTATTATATCGTGACGAGATGTGTGAACAGTAGCCAGAGGTTGTATGCAGGGGCGTTGGACTGGAGGGGTAAAAAGTACAGTTTGCCCAGTTTGCGGGGACGGGCCTTTCACTAAATTTGTAGGCCCACACAGATGATATGTTCTCACTCAGGGGCGAGTAATTTATTTATTTAACCAGTCGCTGCTATTTAGTAATCACACATGTAATGAGCCACTAACGGGGTTAACTGGTATATTAAGCTTTTCTCAAATCCCGTAGGAAGAAGGACAATAACGTCTTTCCCCTTGATAAAATTCATCAAACACTCTCTTTGTTTCGGCTTTAAATCCTCGATCTCGGGAATCGTTGACAACACTAAATGTTTGGCTCTTCGCTGATTGGCTGGTGCCCCGAACTCACACTTCTGGGGTTTTTGCGAAATGTCTGGTGTATTCTGATTCCTGACTAGAGAGAAATGAAATTGAGCAGAGGCACTAGGTGGCACCAGCCTGGCTAGGTTGGAGGAGCATTGCATACTATTTTGAAGGCATTACGGTATTTTTCAGACTATAAGGCGCAATATGAATAATGTTGAATTCTCTATTTTCATACATAAGGAGCACCGGATTATAAAGCGCATTAAACAAACAGACGGCACTTGAGTCTGATCCTTAGTCCAGGCGTCCACGATCCATTGGCAGATCGTGGTGTAATTCGCCCGGTGTTGCCTCACTGTCTTGGCGAATGTGGATTATAAATGTGAATGTGGGTGGTTTATTTACTAAGAGGGCGACTCAAATATACATTGAGTAATAATGTGTTTAATGCAGCTTTGCGCACATTTGTTTACGTTTTACAGAAATGAAACTTAAAACCACATGGCTCATTTGCATAAACTATAAGCACTGAAAAAACAGCTCCCTCCTTGTGCGCTGATGTGGCCAGCTTCGGTCGGACTAAAGGACACGACTCAATTACTCTGCGAGTAGCTGTAATGCTCCAACAATCCATCAAGCGGGGCGGTTTCGTAGCTTATCAAAGTCGTACGAGCTCAGTAAACTCAACCTGAATTAATACATAAAGTGCTCCGGATTATAAGACGCATTGTCGATTTTTGAGAAAATTAAAGGATTTTAAGTGTGCCTTATAGTCCGGAAAATATGGCTATTACTTCAAAATACTATTACTCAAGTAGAAGTACCGAGTAGAAATCAAAGAAATCACTCAAGTAAAGGTAAGAGTAATGTATTTGAGGAAACTGCTACTCGGCTACTGAAGGAGCGCTGCAAAAAACACAAATGTTCAAATCATTTCATATTGTTGACATAAAGCTTTTGTCACTTTAGACTCGCTCACAGAGGGAAGAGGAAACACAGCTTTTACTCGAGTAAGAATACTGTTACACTGTGCAATACACACTCACTCAAGTAGGAGTAAAAGTATGGGGTCTTAAAACTACTCTGAGAATTAAACGCAAGTACTACCGACCTCTGATTTTATTGAGGTCGCTTATTTGGTGTTTTTATTTTTGCTGTTCTGAAAAGGAGCAAAGCGTCATGGTTCCTTCTGCTTTTTACTTCTGCAACAAGACAATGCATTTTACTCCAAAGAGTTTCAAATATTTATTTAAAAAGGTTTACTGATAAGATTGTGAGGCCTGTTTGTTTATTTATTTATTTATTTATGATGCTATTAATTTAATCTATGCAAAAACTGAATGAGTCACAGTTTCAATTTCTTTCATGTTTCTAATAAAGTATGATTTGAAAAAAGTGTTTTATACTGGAATTATTTATTGTTTTTGTTATGAAATGTATTATGAAATAACTTTTGGAGCAGCAAGACGATAATATAAGAGAAACTTTATTTGTGCCACGTTGGGGATATTTTAGTTTTGCAATGCACAGTTTAAGAACGGCAAGACAAAAAAATCTAAATAAACCAATATTACAAAATAGACTTAAAGGTCTTATATTACACAAAATTTACTGTTGAAAACCATGTTATAATGTTTTGGTATGTTTGGTCCTGACCTCTGTCTTCCTTCAGGCCAATATTATAACATAGATAGTAGTAATAAAATAAAATCTGCTACAGTGATATAGTATGTACAATATTGACTCTGACTCTTCTTATGTACAGTGCAGAATATGGACAAATATGGATAAACAGCAGTGAAGTGAGCTCAGTGTATTACACAGGAGATGATTCATATTCTGTTAGAGCAATACACATGGAAAAGGAGAAATTCATTTAGTCATCTGGACAAAAGTTTATTTGGTCGAATATGTTTCCCAGCTCATCCAAGCTGCTTTTTCAGTTCTGGTGAGAATACTTATATCTGCCTGAAGGGAAGGGTTAACAATAGTGAAATACTTGTTTACAGTTTCTAGACTTATTGATCTTGCACTGAATGTGGAGTCATATTAGCATAATAATTCAGAGCCATAATGGGGCTTTCACACCTCTGGGCCTGACATGGCTGCCCCTGTTGTTCTCTTGTTTGTTTTGATTTAGGTTTGAGGATGGAGTGGTAAATAGGATGAGGATGATAGATGGTGTCTGAATCCTCCGTTTCTATTTAGAGAAGGAGTCTCTTTCTTAACAAAAATAGTCTCTTTAACTCCCCTCTCAAACCAGTGCTTTTCTCTGGCTAAGATCTAAAAGTGCTTTAAAAATAAAGATTTATTATTAATACATTAGCATTTTTATTTTCGGCTGATGACACCATCCAGCTGCTCAAAATGTTAAATAGCCTCAAAACAGGCAGAAAATTATATAAAACATTTGTATTTCTTTTGTCTTTTTTTCGTTTGTCTTTTTTTCGTTACTCTTTTTTTTATCATTATCATTTGTTTATTTGGTCTGTCTTTTCTACGACGGAGTATAAGGGTCAGATTTTAAAAAAATGCTGGCGCTACGAGAATAAAGTCATAACATTTCGACATTAAAGTCGTAATATTATGAGAATAAAGTCGAAGCCAGAAAAAGTCATAATTTTACGAGAATAAAGTCATAATTTTTCAGGAATAAAGTCAATAAATTCAAAGTTAAAATAAAGTCGTAATATTATGAGAATAAAGTTATAATATTACGAGAATTAAGTCGTAATAAAATCAAAGTCAAAGTCCAAAATGCGGCAGAAGAAGAACCTTGTTTTTCAATATAAAACCAAAAATAAGAAAAGGAACAACAATTTTCTTCATTATTTGCGCCTCCGGACTGAACCAGGACTGAATCAGGACTAAACGAAGTCCGAGACCAGACCGGGACTGAGACCAGGACTTAGACAAGGACTGAGTCAGGGACCAAGACTGAGACCGAGATCAGACAAGAACTGAGACCAGGATTGAGACCGGGAACAGGACCAGGACTGAGACTGGGACTGAGACCGGGACCAGACCAGGACTGAAAACGGTTTAGTCCTGGTTTAGTCCCGATTCAGTACTGGTTCAGTCCTGGCAGTCCGTATGTGGTGCAATAGTCCCGCAGGCCCCGGCCCCGGCCTCAGTCCTGGTCTGGTCCCGGTCTCAATCCTGGTCTTTCTGGTTTGGTTCCGGACCTGATTTAGTCCTGATTCAGTCCTTGTTCAGTCGAATGAACGAATGATACACGGATTCTTCTCCTTTACAAAATGCTCCAAATTCTCCATCCTCCACTCGTTCAGACTTTCCGAGTAGCCGAGATTCTCATAATATTACGACTTTATTTTGACTACGACTTCATTCTCATAAAATTACTACTTTATTCTCATAAATTTACGACTTTATTCTCGTAAAATTACGACTTTATTCTCGTAAAAATATGACTTTATTTTCGTAAAATTACGACTTTTTCTGGCTTCGACTTTATTCTCATAATATTACGACTTTAATGTAGAAATGTTACGACTTTATTCTCGTAGCGCCAGCATTTTTTTTTTATTTTTTTAATCTGACCCTTATACTCCGTCGTACCGTCGTAGGTTTGCCTTTTTCTCGTTGGTCTTTTATTTATTTATTTATTTTTTTTCGCATTTCTTTTGTCAAACTGAAAACAAAGACGGGACCGCGCAGAGTCCCGGGGGGGAGCGCGCACGCAGACCACCACGCAGCCTTACCACGTGACCGCTCCCGAGCCCCTGTGATTGGCCCGCGCTTCTCTCCGTGTAGAACAACGGCGCGGTGGGTCACGTGACGGAGTCTGCTGTGGCTGAGCGAAGCGTGTTAGCAGGTAACAAACAAAAAAACACGTCCTGTCCCGGGGATAAACCTGCTCGGGACCGGTTCTAATCCGACCCGTTCACCGATCACACCGCACCGGGTTTGTGGGGAGGAATTAGAGCGACGGATTTTCAGCGTGGATTTTGCTGGTTAGCCGAATTAGCCTTTGTAGCTGTAGCTTGGGCCGTACACATGCCGGGCTAACGGCTAACGGCGTGAGCTACAGCTACAACCCGGGCACAAACACGCTGCTAAAACTAAAATCATCACCGGTTTGTCTTGGATTAAATCGACACTTAACCGCAAGCGCTGTCAGATGTCACAGATGTCACTGCGCTCGCGTTAAATCTTGTGTATTTGTTGCTTTGTGCCGCGGCTAATCGGCTAAATGTGTGTCAGGCGTTAGCGTTTTATTGTGTTCACCTCAAAACATGTGATTTTATCGATTTAATTCTCTCCGAACGGGCTCAAACGCGCGGCGCGGGGCTTTAAAACACATTCGAGACCCGCTGTTTTTGAGATATATCGCTGCGGTGCTCTGAAATGTACAGGAATGCCATGTTTGAGTCACACTTGAGACAAAGGCACGGTTGGCTAAGGTGCCGTGCTAAAAAAAAAAGGCTAACCAGCGCTTAGCCGTCTCCACTTGAGCCTCGGCGCTGGTGGAACTCGTATTTCCAGACAACATAAAAAAATGTTCACGCTATGATTTTTTTAGGTTACGTGTTATACCTGCGGGCTGCACCAGACGTGAAACCGCCCACGTGTTTTGTTTTGTCACTCGTAAATAGTAAACACTGATCATTGTCGTCGTGTGTCTTGGACGTGCATTGTTTTGTGTGCAAATTTAGTCTGGTTGATTTTGGATTGTGCTTGATTTCAGCGGCGTTTGCGCTTTACGAGCCTTATTTGCAGTTGCCCTGAAAAGACTCGGGCTAAATCTAATGACAACAACAAGCTCTCCGCGCGTAACCCAATCCACCTTGGAGCGTACACTTGCATAACATTTCCATGACCACGGCTCTGTTTTAAAACGCACACGGGCTCTCGCAGGTTTAAAGCCGGGTACGTACACTTTTTAAAGCATTGTTGTCGCGTTAGA